ATCCCCCAAAACCGGGGGGGGACCCCGTGGGTTTCTCCCGGACCCGGGTTTCCACTCCCCCAAGGGGAAGCCCCCCGAAGGTTTTGGGGGAGTCCCAGAAAGGTGGGGCCCCCCCCCTTAAGGGGTTTTGCCCTTTTGGGGTTTATTCCCTGGGTTAGGAGGAACACGCGGTAAGGACTAATTTTTTTTTGGGGGGTTTCCCTTCCCAGAACCATTTTTAACCCCGGGTAAACCCCCCGGGGGAACCTCCCCCATTTAACCCAAAGGGGGGGGGTTCTCCCCCCTTTGGGGGGAGGGGGTTTTTTCGCCCCCCCACAACATTTTTTTTTCGCCCCCCTTTAGGGTTCCCCCAAAAAAAAAAAGGGGGAAAAAAAAAAAAACCCGGTACCTGGGTTGCGGATTCCAGAAAGGAATTGGGTTTTTTTACAAAGGTGGTTCCCAAGGGAGAAAACCCCAACCCCGGGGGGGGGGGGGGGGGGAATCTTAGATTTGCATGCCTTAGCGGTTAGACCGTTGACCACACACCCTCGAGAGGACGGAGCATTCCGTGGGGGGGGGGGGTAGAGGAGGAAGAGGCGTTTTTTCAAGGGCCGTGACTTGGCCGCGAGGAAGGGTTGCTCTTGGTTCTTGACCGCGCGTCCCCCGTCCCTCCCTCTTTCGGGACGGAGCAAGCTCCACAAGCAAAGCCACCCCTGCTCCTAACGTGGCACGCTTCCGATGTGGCAGGCAGGCAGGTGCTCGGTCTCCCTTTCGGAAAAGCAAGCCCTGTGCAACGCCGAGAGCGCGCTTAGAAAGGGGACTCAATCGATCCCAAGCTTGGCTGGAAACTGGTCAAGAATACGGAGATGATGATAAATCCACACCCTGCGAACGGTTCATTCCGGAAGATGCTTCGGGACTAATCCCTTGGAGGGGTAGACTAGAAGTCAGATATGCACGGGCGTGAAATCTTTCTTGAGAGGGAAGGGCGGAGGGGCTTGCGCGTCACGAGACGCGAGTGTGAGGGGCGTGGGAGTGTTGGAAGTCCTGGCAAGGAACTTGACCACTAGAGCAGGTGCTCATCCCGCACTGAAACCTGTTTGGATAAGTACCTCACAGAGAGATTGAGAAACGGGCCTTGTGGGAGAAGAAAGGAAGAAAGTGGTTCTTAAGAGTGTGGTCCTGGTGTATCTCAGGAGATACTGCATGTCCGGAAAACTATTATACTGAATGAAGAAAACGAGAAGCAAACCATTCCTGCAGCTCAAACACACCATCTGTTTTCCTTGTGTAGCATCGGCGACGTTCGTTGTATTACACAGTTCGCAGCAACAAGCTCGCGAAAGCGCGGCGGCAGTCGGGCATGGAGGCCAACTGCTCATCTGAGGGCCCGACCGCCCAGCTTTCCAGCGCATGCCACCTCGAAGTTTCATAAAACACCTCTCACTTTCTCTCAAACTCTCTCTCCCTGAACGGCTTCACAAATGCCAACACTCTTGCCTAGAGCCTTCCCCACAGCCGAACACGAAACGACAACAATTTGCAACTCACCGATACTACCACCAAAATCTGCGAAAAAAGCTTTACTGTACTAAAAGAAGAACAGGATACATAAACAAAACCACCAAAAAACATGCCTTCCTACTGCGGGGTCAAACCCGTGGCATCTTACTTCGGATGCATATACACACGACGACGGATACCACTATTACGTAAGTAAGCCGCAAAAAAAAAAAAAAGTACTAGTAGTCCATCGCGGCAGCTTCTGCGCGCAACACAAACACACAAGTTCGCGTGAACCCACGAGGGGGAAACCACGAGCCGTGGGACGGCCGTGTGCACAAGAACAACACCAAAGAGACAAAGAGACCAACACACAGACTATGACTAGACTACTCATCTTTGTCTCGAGGCTCTAGTACACAATTAATCGCATTCCCCGGAAGCAAAAGGCGGGGAAGACAAGGCGGACAACAACATGAACGTGCGCGGCCGTACCATCCATCCACAAAAAAAAAAAAACGGCGCGTGGAGCAAATAGACAAAAAAACGTCATACATGCGTTGTCCGGCGCAGAAGATCGGTTCGAACAAGACAAGAACGAACATATCATAGCTTGCAACGCAATACCGTGCAATGCAAGACAAGGCGGCCGGCCGTTCTACACACTGACAGCGGGGTACATGGGCCCCTCATCCCCTCACTCTGTTGTTGTCGTTGTGTCCGGCCCAAACAGAAAAGCAGCACACACGCCTGCCTCTGCTACTGCTGTGGTCGTAAAGAAACACAAATACATACTCAAAAAAACTTAAATTGTCGCTGAAACGCGCGTCAACACGATAATGCACTCAACAGCGTGTGATGGGGGTGTGATGAGTGATTGGACCCTGCCATTGAACAAAGCCCATCGGAAGAGGACAAAACTGTAAAAAGACGCACAAAAAAAGTAGGGAAAAGTACCCGATTTCTACATCGTACTCCAGAGGGCGAAGCTTGTTGACTCACGTGAAGGGAACACACCCGCCGCATCACCCATAGACTATAATAACTCGATTCAACGTAAATAAACCCTTCTTTTTATACCGCACACAAACGTAAAAATGTAAAATCCAAAGCAGGAGGACCAAAACGAGCGAGCGATCCACTGCAAAAAAACAACATGTAAGACACACTAGCACACTTTGGTGGGAGGGACAGTAGTGGACAAGGTTGACGATAGCAACCAACCCTCGTGTCCGTCGTACATACGCATACGGCCGATCGACCTCGTTTCAGTGCCCGTGTCATTTCAAGTTTTCCGAGCTTGTGGTTCGTGATTTGCCAAACAAACAAAAAAGTATCGAGCACGACCAATGAAAACAAAAAAAAAGAGGACAAAAAAAAAAAACGCCACTCACTGGCGGCCGTCGTTTCCTCCGAGCGCTTCATCTAAAAAAAATGCCTCGCGTATCAACATCCGGAAAGTAACTCATGTCAGCGTCAACGATTTTCTCTCAGTTTCACCGACTCTCTCCTAACTTTCAAACGATTTGATCTCTTTCTCTCCTCCTCCTACGATGGGACCGACACAACGCCGCTACCACCGCCACCACCCCAGCCACAACAGCAATAGAAATCGACCCAAATCTTGCATTTATCCATATCAAGACTATTACCGCGTCGGCACGCGACCACCCTCAATCCTCATCTTCTCCAAGTTACGAAAAACTTTAGCGTATCAAGAGAATCTTCAGCATATCAAGAGAATCTTCAGCATATCAAGAGAACTTTCAGCATATCAAGAGAACCTTTAGCATATCAAGAGAACCTTTATTTAGCATATCAAGAGAACTTTAGTACGTGAAGAGAAGCTTTACTTAAAACACGGCACAGGGGCGGCCAAAAGGGGCTGCCGAATCCGTGTCTCTACCACACAATAGAACCAAATGACTATGCCGTCCTTCCCTCCCTCTCTCCCGCCCCCCACCCCTCTTCACCCAAGCTTTTGCCTTTTCTTGGGCCAAACAAGCGACCGCACACTCGGTTCTCATCTCCAACCACAAGAGCAAAGCTTGAAGTCTTTCTTTTTTTCCTCGAAATCTACCACAAAAAAAATAAAGCCTTCTCCTTCTCACGCCTTAAAAGGTCTCGTCCGGCGGCCCTCCACCCCCACCCCCCCCGACGACCCCAGTGGCGACGGGAATGACT